GATAATTTTACAGATGAAGTTTCTGTCTCTGAACCGTCTGCACCGAGGAAACGTTTGACAGAATCACCTCTCATAAAAGATATAGCCAGAAACATTGTGAGCAGACCTGGACCCTCCATGGATGCTCACTGTGGTTGCTTGTTCTGTAGAAGAGGATTGACCTGCCCTTATTCTTTAGCACTGGGAAAGATTGAAGATGATTTTAATTCAAACGCAGATGAAGTTTCTGTCTCTGAACCTACAGCACTAAGGAAACGTTTAACAGAATCACCTCTCATTAAAGAGATAGCCAGAAACATTGTGAGGAGACCTGGACCCTCCATGGATGCTCTGAATAACTGTGGTTGCTTCTACTGTAGAAGAGGATTGAACTGCCCTTATTCATTAGCACTGGGAAAGATTGAAGATTATTTTAATTCAAACGCAGATGAAGTTTCTGTCTCTGAACCGTCTGCACAAGGGCAACCACAGACAGATTCAGACCCACCTGGAGTTAACATAGAAGGCAGAGGCAACCCTGAAGCAGGTCAGGTTAAAACTATTTTCTCTGCACTTATTTTACTAGTAGTTTTTGGTTGTCTGTGGAGATTTTTAAACCCTAAACAAGAATCCTAAATTGAATAAATCTGAACCTACATACCCCCCCCCCCCCCGCCCAAACACACACACATACAAAAAAAAATTATTGAAACAACCTAAACTCTTTCATGTGTTCCATCAAACTCTCGTACACATACTGCTTCATTATCTAACACATACTTTCAAACCCTCCAAATTTACATCTACTGTTAAACTCAATTTATTAATTAATTAATCTCTCAAATCTCTCCATCTCTCTCTCTCTGTCTCTCTCTCTCCCCCTCTTCCCATCCATCTCTCTCTCTCCCCCTCTCTTTCCCTCTCTCCCCCTCTCCCCATCTATCTCTCTCCCCTCTCCCCCTCCCCCCCCTCTCCCCATGCATCTCTCTCTCCCCCCTCTCCCTCTCTCCCCATCCATCTCTCTCTCCCCCTCTCTCCCCTCTCTCCGTCCCCCTCTCTCCGTCCCTCTGTCCCCCTCTCGCTGTCCCTCTCTCCCCCCCTCTCTCTCCCCCTCTCCCCATCCATCCCCCCCCTCTCTATCCTACTCTCTCCGCCCCTCTCTCCCCATCCATCTCTCTCTCTCCCCCCTCTCTCCCCTCTCTTTAACTATGACCTGGATGACTGGGGATCTTCACAGGCATGATGAAGAGCACGGGCTAAAGGACTGATCCCTGAGGGACTCCGCAGAGAGAGATGGATGGGGAGAGGGGGTGAGAGAGGGAGGGAGAGAGGGGGAGAGAGAGAGGGAGAGAGGGAGGGAGGGATGGAGAGAGAGAGGGAGGGTGCGATGAGAGAGGGAGAGAGGGGGAGGGAGATACGGATGGAGAGCGAGAGGGAGGGAGGGGGGGAGAGAGAGGGAGAGTGAGAGGGAGGGATGGATGGAGAGAAAGAGGGAGGGAGGTAGGGAGGGAGAGGGGGGGAGCGGAACCATGGAGCTACCTATAATGAAGGCAACAGGGCGTGCTATCGAGCGGAGATTCAAAGTACCAGGTCTTACTGTGCACAAACAAGCTATCCGAGAAGACCAAAAAGACTACTCAAAGTCACGCGCAAGGTACGGTCACCATTTTGTGGAAATTTCATTAGAAACAGGCCTGGAAACTCCAAGTAGCTGTTCTCCACCATAAAGCATCTTCTCAAACCAATAACCTACTCACTTACAGAAACTTCAAAAAAGCACTGTAACAATCATCTTGGACTTTTTCACAACAAAAATAAAGTCAATTCATTCTTCATTTCATGGTTCCTCAGCTCCACCCACATAACTGAACTCTCACAACTTGTAATCTCACAGCCCCTACAATGCCTTCCAGAAATCTCCCAGCATGAGGTTGAAAAGATCATCAAGAGGATGAAACCCACCACCTTGGCCATTGACCCCTTTCCTACAACTCTAGTAAGAGCAAACGCCCCTGCTCTAAGCCCTCTGATTACCACTGTAACAAACAACTCCATCCATTCCAGCAATGTTCCAACTGCCCATAAAACAGCCATAATCAGACCGCTACTGAAATAATCCACCTTCTATCCAGATACACTTCAAATCACAGGCCCATTTCCAATCTCCCATTCTCTCTAAAGTACCGGAAAAAAGTTGATGCCACCCATCTCCAGAGCCATCTCAAACAAAACAAGCTTTTAAAAATAATTCCAGTCTGGTTTTCGCTCTCCTCATAGCACTGAAACAGCCCTGGTTAGTCACAAACGATCTACAATTGGCAGCAGATAAAGGCTCACCTTCCCTCCTCGTACTCCTTGATCTCTCTGCTGCTTTTGATACTGTAGATCATCAAATTCTTCTAAACCGGCTGCAAAAAAATACTGGATTCTCTGACGCTGCTCTGAACTGGTCTCAATCATACCTCAGTTATAGAATGGTGTAAATTCTAACAACTTTCCGGCAACACAAAGTCACTGCGGAGTCCCTCAGGGATCAGTCCTTTAGCCCATGCTCTTCATCATGCCCTTGAAGATTCTCAGTCATCAAGGTCATAGTTAAAGTTAAAAAACAATCCCCTGGATTTTGTTTCCAAGTTTGAAGATGTTTTTCTTCCCATCCAGGAAGCTTTTTCAACTCAAAATGTCAGAAACAGCGTTGAGTTGGAGATTTTATATAGAGACATAGACAGGTATGGAACATTGCAGGCTAACAGACAAGCCAAACAACCCCCATTGCAAAGGGGGTCGTCTTGTTTCTATTTCCTGAGCAAAAGTAAAATAAAGCATCTGGATTCAGTAGTGTTGAAATAGAAGCTCAAGAACATTCCCTTCATCTCGACAGTCATTTTAAAACATGGGTGGCATTGAAGAGACAAGACGTGGTGCTGATTCCACTTTTAAGATATCCCACATTACTGGTCCAGCCATTTCAAAAAGGTGAAACAAAAAACCACTGGACTTTGTTTCCAAGATTGAAGACGTTTCACTTCCCATCCAGGAAGCTTTTTCAATTCAAAATTTCAGAAATAGTGTTGAGTTCCAGGTTTTATACAGTAGCCCAACAAAGCCTTGTTTATGTTTAGAAAACATGCAAATTGAAACGGACAAACGGGCCCACCACTTTGGAAGGGGGGGTCGTTTGGTCTCGTTGTTAGCCTGCAATGCCCCATACCTGTCTACTGTATATCTCTGTATAAAGCCTGGAACTCAACGCTATTTCTGAGAATTTTGAATTGAAAAATCTTCCTGAATGGGAAGCGAAACGTCTTCAAACTTGGAAACAAAGTCCAGTGGATTGTTTTTTAACCTTTTTGGAATGACTAGGACCTGGATGACAGAATCTTCACCAGCATTATGGTTCAGCCATTAAATGTCAGTCTAAAAAAACAATATAAAAACAATGCAATTGACTATATCCCCCACCACCACCCACCAACACGTAAACCTTCCAAACATTCGTAAATAGTAAAAATTCAAAGGAGTGTTATGCAGAAACTATATAATAATTTTCCCCCAATACTCGCTTATAATGTAACAGTTAATTTGAGCCACATAAGAACATGTGGAACATGAAATTATGGATCAGCAAAAATTAAAGATTTGGCCAGAACATTGCTCTCTCAGAGGGTTTTTGGAAATGTTTTTTAGAGTTGATCAATGCTTGATGAAGGGTTACATATCCACAGGTCTTATGAGAACTTCCTCCGGTTTCGTTATTAACTTCTGTTGCTTGCAGTGGAACATCCTGGTCTTGAGGAAATTTGAAGATGATGTCAGCATTCAGTAACACTCATACAAGCACACCTGCTGTTACAGCTCTGGCTGAAACGCAAACAACCCAGGATCTCCGCGGCTGTAAGTACCGTGTCATGGTCATGCCCCTAATCTGTCCAACCAGGATGATCATGTTTAGAACCCAAGTTTAGAGATATGCATTATTAATGTGGGACTGAATCTGCACGAGGAAAGGATGACATTCAGCTGAAATTTCTGGGCTGATTGAGCAAAGCAACACACAGTGACTGCCTAAAAAACTGGAGCTTTGGCTCTGATGCGATCTACCTGTACACTGTACAGGTAGATCTACACTGTACGTTTTAAAAACCAGGTGGGACTCCGCAGTGAGATGGTGCTATTCGGACTCGTCTATCCAGAAGCCAAACGACTAGCAGAGGAACATGAAGCTCACTAGAGTGAAACGTGCTGCCTTGGATATTTGTGCAATTTTGCGCTAAAAGCCCTAAAAAGAAAAGGTGACAACGTATTTGGACAAAGACATGGCTGAGCAAACGTGGCTACTATGGTCTGTCAATTTTACAGAAAGAACTTCATTTCACTCATTGCACCCCCGCCATGCTTCTGTGTTTTCATCTGAGAGGAAGAAGAAGAATCCTTGTTGCCCACTGAGCGATTTGCCCACGACAACCTTATGACGGCAGACTGAATTTCAAACATGTTTGATTTTCTCCTGACCTTACTACTCCTGAGGGGTAGGTGGTCGTTAGAGGCTAATCGGCCCTTGTTACCCCCTGTACACTAAACCACGCACCATCAGGCTGAAAGTCGGCCCGATTGGAAAATTATTTTACGACTGGAAAGTCGCCCTGAAAAGGGCAAAAAAATCGCACAGTGTACGCCCGGCTAAAGACGCTGCTGAAAGTGAAGTAAAGTAAGTAATTGTGGGTGTTTCTTATCTGGTGTTTTATCTTTAGGGCAACTGCTTCACTTTTATACTCATTGCTCAGCTTTGTCCAAAGTTGATCTATTTTTACTCTGGCCTTCTTGAAATGCAAAAATAACTTCTCCCGTCAGGTGCTAGCTCCAGAGGGACGACTGGCTAAGGATTCCTTCTTTGGATTCTTCTGGACCAATTCTTTCCTTTGCCAGTTTGACTTGAGGAAGTTCAAACGGTAACCAGCAGCACACACTGTAACAACTAGATAACCAGTATTATTGTAGTTCATGGCTATGTTGAGTGTTTTTCAGATCGATCTGACGTCTTTAGGCCAAACTACATTCCCACGGGTCATCTCAGCAACCCTCAACCGGAGGATCTGGATCTCCAGGTTGAGCTTCACCCGCTCCAAGAGCAGATTTCCTTTTCTCAGGGTTAGGGTTAGATTCCCGTCTTCACCCATCACAACACCTTTCATCGCATCGATCAGGCCTGCAGAGGAAGTAAAAGTGGGATATAATCACAGGGAGGAATCCTTATGGGGAAGTGAAATTGATTTGTTAAATATAATTACACTCTTAGCCCCTTTCTTTCAGCAAAAAAAAAAAAAAGGAGCCAGCAGAATTACCTAAGGAAAAATGTTTACAAGCTTTAACCCAGGATTTAAGATTGCAATAGGGATGCTTTTAAAATCAATTTATTAATTGCTGCTATACTTGTTATTGTTCATTTTTAACGTAATGAAAGTTGGACAAAATTAACTAACTAAATGCACTGCCAAACTGTAAATATAATTAAGTAAATTCTTTCTCAAATAAGTGCATTTTCCCTTTATGGGAGCAGCAATAAGATACAATCTGTTTAAAATAGTATATATATATATATATATATATATATATATATATATATATATATATATATATATATATATATATATATATATATATATATATCCAATAATCATGTTCTAAGGGCAAAACATCCTTCTTCTACTGGCAGATGATTTTATTATTTAGCTTCTCAAATTAAGAGCAAATACACGAATTGAGAGACATTTTTACTTAGTTTTAAACTGTTTTTGAAGCAAGTTTTGGAAGAAGCTGAAATCCTGATCCTCTTTCATCCAATAAATAGGCTTGTTTTAGCATGCTTAAATCATCTCTTTAATATCAAACATGTTACACTGCAAAAAACATCTAGAAATTCAAAAAGTCAAAATGTCTTAAATGAAGTGTGTCTACCAATAATTTGAGTAGGTAAATAAGATGATTTGCCAATGGAATGAGGATTTTTACTCAGTTAAGATGATTTACACTTAAAATAAGACAATAAAATAGTTTTTTTCTTATTTTAAATATAAATGATCTTGTTCCAAGTGTCTTTTTTTTGTTCCATTTTGTTTCATGGCACTCCGCTCCTGCCTTTGATATTGGCCAGCTTAACTGGGCTTTAACCATGTTATTATTATATTCATTTGAGTATTTGTACCCAAAATAGCAGTTTTATTAAAATGCTTTTGTAGCAGACAGTTCCAGGTTAAGTTCCTCCTTCAGTTTACACCCTGCAGCCATTTGGTGACTTAGAAACGACACTGTCAAGGAACGCTATGGACAGCGGAAACATGCAAGAGGAGGAGAGTTTAGTGTCGGAGGTCGTGGATGAGTCTCCTCCGTCATCCATTTTTTATTTAGAGGAGGAAAGCGGAGACGAAGATGTTGTGGAAGAGGACGCCAGGGCAGCAGAAGCTTGGTTTGGTGTAGAAGGCTTACAGCCGTACATGTTTGAGCCCTTGCCTCGCAACGCTGCCAGTTCTGTTAGCTCTACGCCTGCCGAAGACACAGACGTCCATCCCCGTGAACACTGGGACGGAACTCAATGGGAAAGGAAATGATTCTGATTTCTTATATTAACCGTTGGATATATTAGTTGCGACATACAGTCAAGATGCTATGACCGAAACATTTGATTGACAGATGACCGTTTATATATTATTGGCCAAATTTAGGTGTTCAGTCTGACGTATAACTAACTGGCCTTCATAAAATGATGAAATAAAAACCTGCGATGGACTGGCAGACCTGTCCAGGGTGGACCCCCACATCTCGCCTGTACACAGTTGGAGCACCAGCACCCCTCCGATCCCAGATATAAGCGTGATGGAAAATGTATGGATATATCTCCATTAATAAATAAATTATCTTTTTTTTCTTTCTTGTCAATCTTTATTTCTATTTAATTCTCTTAAATTAGCTAATTAAAGTCTCCTTAGCTGGATGCTGTTGGTAGAACCAATACTGACAGACTGATCTGTGCAGGTCTACTCTGATCTGCTGCAGATATCTGATTAATCAGATGGTAAATTCATCTTCAGGATGAATCTGAGCAGATCCATCAATACAGAGCAACCCTTTCCTCTCATTATAGAAATGAGCAGTTTTGTTTTGTTGAGTCCTTACATCAAAACATACAAAAAATGGCAGCCCACTGCTCCCCAAGGGGATGGGTTAAATGCAGAGAAGTAATTTCCCTCTGGGATTATTAGAGCATATAAAATACGAAAAAAAAAAAAAAAAAATCAGTCCTCCACTTCTTCTTGACATGAACAAAGACGTCGTAGAGTTTGTCCAGCTCCTTGTCCGAGTCCTCTGGTTTGGTGTGAACTGGGATAATCACCAGATCTTTCAGAACTGGGAGGAGATCAGACAGATATCAAGCTTATAAACATTTTTGCATAGATAATTTTACATTTATTACCACAAGTCATCTCTCACCTGTATTTAGGCACCTGAACCCAAGGATGTACGGATCCCTGGCAAACACGTCCAGCCCTTCGGTCTTCTCATCATCAAACTGGTACGAGCCCACCAGGTCAACCAGGTCGTCCCTGCAAACACAAAAAAGCACAACTTTATTTAAAAAGCTGTTTAAAAACAATAAAGCAGATCAGAGATTTAAAGCGTCACTAAAAGCAACAAGTACGGCGCTCTGAGAAAACAGAAGATGCACACAAATGGAAACAGTTAGCCTCTAAAGGCCAGAACACACTGAAAAGGCTGAGTCAGAGCTACAGAGTCTGAGGAGATTAAAACATCTTTAAAAGACTTTCTGTTGTTATGTGACATATAACCCGACTGAAAACTTTATTCTTTTCATTTTCACTATTCGGAAGATTTATGTCTATATATCATTATGGCTGATAATGCATGATAACCATCATTGTATCCTGTATGCATTTCTGACCTATTTGACATCATGGAAAACCAACCACTGTGATGCCATCGCTGCTCTACTTAATATAAACACCCACAATCCTTTGCTTCATTACTGTCACCGTCTCAGCAAAACACCACAGGACCAATCTGCTCCCCTTTCCCTCCTGACAAAGAAAATCTTACGCTTCAAAATGACTGACATGTATTGAGCATCCATATTTTCAGCAGTGATGGAAATTAATTAGGAGTAAATCTGGTTTCCTAGAACATTTGTTCATAATTTAACCTGGGAACTACCCTGAGACTTTAGTGCAGCAAGGCCAGGTGTCTGTAGCCATGGTTTCTTTAAATGCACAGAAAAAAAATCTCCCAAGGAAGACAATTAAAACAAATCTAAATCCATCAACTAATGAAATGTTTCTAATCTTCAGTAACTATTTAATACTATATATGGAAATGTTATTACTTTATTAATATTTTTTACCTTTGATATCATTTCTTTATTTAACAATTTAGTGATTTAGCTAAAGCAACAATCAAATAATAAATCAATCTGACTGTTAGGTGCACGTCTGTTATTCAGGCTCAAATAAACTACTTTAGGCAGTTTGTGAACTAAATTAGCCTGCCAATGAACGGATGAATTAATGGGTTAATGAATGAATAAACAGATGAAAGAATTAATAGATGGATGAATGGATGAATGAATGAGGTAATGAATATATGGATGAATGGATGGAAGGGTGAATGAATGGATGAACAAATGGGTCAATGAATGGAAGAATGAATGGATGAATTAATTGATGATTGAATTAATTAATTAATGGATAAATGAATGAGGGAATGAATGGGTGAATAAATATATGGAGGAATGCATGGATGGGTGAATGAATATATGGTGAATAGATGAATGAATGGATGAATTATTGATGATGAATGAATGGATGGATGAATAGATGGATGGGTGAATGGATATATGGATGAATGGATGGATGGGTGAATGAATGGATGAATTATTGATGAATGAACAGATGGATGAATGGATGGATGGGTGAATGAATATATGGATGGATGGGTGAATGAATGGATGAACGAATGTCTCAATGAATGGAAGAATGAATGGATGAATTATTGATGAATGAACAGATGGATGAATGGATGGATGGGTGAATGAATATATGGATGAATGGATGGATGAGTGAATGAATGGATGAACGAATGTTTCAATGAATGAATGGATGAATTATTGATGAATGAACAGATGGATGAATGGATGGATGGGTGGGTGAATGAATATATGGATGAATGGATGGATGGGTGAATGAATGGATGAACGAATGTCTCAATTAATGGATGAATGAATGGATGAACTATTGATGATAAATGAACGGATGGATGGATGAATGAATGGATGGATGGGTGAATGAATATATGAATGAATGGATGGATGGATGGGTGAATGAATGAATGAACAAATGGGTCAATGAATGGAAGAATGAATGGATGAATCAATGGATGATGAATAAAAGGATTGATGAATGAATGGATGAATGAATTGATGAATGGAGTCTCACCTGTACAGGAACATGAATTGCTTCTTGTAGCGTGTTCGGCCCAGGCGGGTGCTGATTTTCAGGGTGTAGTGATGTTTCTGGTTGGCCCTGAGCGGATACACAGAAATGCGTTTCTCAGTTTGTTTACTCCAAAGAAAAGCCGAAGGAAGAAGTTCAGGATGATAGAATTCACATTTCCACCCTTTATAAAAAGCATTGTTATGACCGCAGCAGTATGAAAAGTCAGTGGGTATATATTTCCATCCAGTAATTTCTGTCACAGTTATCCCAGCTGCGGTGGTGAGTGGTGCTGGTGTCCATCTCCAACTCTCTATGGGTGAGAGGCAGGGTCCACCCTGGACAGGTCTCCAGACAATCGCAGGGCAACACAGAGACAAACGGGACAAACAACCATTCACACTCACACCTAAAGAGGATCTAGAGAAGCCAATTAACCTAACAGTCATTTTTTTGGACTGTGGGAGGATGCCAGAGTACCCGGAGAGAACCCACGCCTCCTCAGGGAGAACATGCAAACTCCATGCATAAAGACCCCAGGCTGGGAATCGAACCCGGAACCTTCTTGCTGCAAGGCATCTATGCTTTGATTTTCTTTATTTTTGTGTGTTAAGCTTGACTCAAATGATTATTTTTATTTAAAAATGGGATAAAATATGGGATTTGCTGTCACAGCGGCCCACTGTCATCATAGGCTGTGCAATACGTGCACTACAGTATCAAACGATTTTCTAATTTTCAGGGGGCTTTCGAATTTTAAAAGATAAATTTATCACTTCGATACACATTTGCTGTTTCATAGAATCGTAGATTACAATTTCTAGTAGAAAATAGGCACATCTCATTGCATATTCAATAAAAGTCTATTTACAATTATACAAATCACAATGAAATAAGTCTGTTAATGGAGCATAATACTGTACTTCGGTATCCAATATAGGATAATGGAGTTGAGGTGGAAATTTTGGAAGCCAACTAGTAGTTCTCAAAGGTCAGAGTTGTACCTGATGGGTGTTCAAATACTTATTTTGCTACACACACCGAGTTATATTCACAGCATAAAATTGCTTGTTGCAGCCAATGACACGTCGGCATATTTTTGGCACGCCTCCGTGAATGTACCAAGACGACTGCAAGCAACTTCAGTTTTTCCACTCTTTGCTTTCCAGTGAATAAGTAGAGATCAAAGGCAGGAAAGCAAAGAGGAGAGTTACGGCTGGTTTGGGTCATAAAGAAACGTATTCCTGAATTTGTCCACAAAAAAGTACAAATTAGATGCTCATAAACAATGGGTCAAGAAACTGACACATCTCAAGTTGGGCAAATGGTCTGCTCTAGCCATTTTAGACAGGGCAACTACAAAAATTATTTTAGACATTCGATTTACACACAGGATGATTAGTTAGAATTTATTTCAGCAAATAATTAAAGCAGCTACAATGGAAAATGAAACTTCATCAGCACCCAGCTTTCATCTGGCTGTGAGGGGGCAGTGGTTTGTTCAGGTGGATGCCCACAGTCAGCCCAAACTCCTGGCTGGAATGCTTCTCATGGACATCAGGCTTCAACTGGAAAGCCTTCTCATCAAAGCAGTCCAAGGGAATGAAGGACAGAGGCTTTTCCTCCAGAAGTCCTTGCAGTCGTGTGCGCCAGCTATCCAGCATTCTCTTGCGATCTTCAGCTGCAGCAGAAGAAGGAGCCCAGAAGATCTGAGGGGCCAGAACCTGGAAACCACAGTAGTGCAGGATGCCGTTCTGCAGAGGAATGAAGTTGATTTAACATTTCCACTAGATGTAGGTTTATTGCAACAAAACACTACTGTACATTACCTGCAGTGGCCACAGTGTAACATTCATGTCTCCATTAATACCAGTTGGGCTGAACATGGATTCTAGAGATCCAGTGGTGAAGGACAGCATGGCTTTCTTGTCCTAAAAGCAGGAACAGGTTAAACAGATTATAGATTCCACCAAAACCTTCCTTATTAGAGTCTCACCTTGAAGATTCCCTGGCTGTAGCGCTTCTCTTTAGAAAAGGCAAAGCCATTGGTGAGAATACGGTCAATCAAGCCTTTCAGGATGGCAGGAACACTGAACCAGTACATGGGGAACTGAAGGAAAGAATACAGTTAATACAACATGGAGCATTTATCACCATATTACAGATATCCAGCAGTACCTGAAAAATGATGAGGTCTGCCTCAGTGAGCTTAGTTTGCTCCTTTGTGATGTCATCTGACAGTTTTCCCTGCTCCCATGCAAGTTTAGACTCTTCCAGATAACAGAAGTTCTCAGCATTCTTCACATCCCCTGTTCAGGAATTTTTAAATATTAGGTAATTGACATATTTGATCAGACAATTTCCAGTCATACCTTTGATGTCCTCAGCTGTAGCAGTGGCTTTAAAACTCATGGCATACAGGTCAGAGACTTCCACTGTGCAGCCCTGAGCAGTCAGGACCTCTACAGCAGCATTTTTAGCTGCAGCATTGAATGATCCAGAGCTCTGGTGAGCAAACACAATCAGCACTTTCTTTCCTACTAAGACATAAACTAGATTTAGCAACCTTTGATATCAAAAGCATTTTATTTGTTAATCCTAAATAAATTAAGCACAAAGGAAATGCCCCAACAGCACAAAAATTGGTGAGGAAATGGAAAACGGTTTACATTACCCATTTTACCAGCTGCTCAATCTTGTATGGCAGTTTAAAAGATAAAACAAACTCAAAGCTGCTTCATGTAGAGGAAAAACCTTTTGCCAGTTTTATACACTTCCATTGTTTGTACATTAGCTGACACATGTGTCTTCAATTAGACTCAATTAGCCAATTCTGGTGATGGAAGTGAGTTTTTTTTCTTCTCCTTTTTCTGATAAACTTCTGTCAGGCTCTGAGCTGTCTTGGCATAATGCTGCCCCCCACTGGTCTTATGGTATAGATTTAAAGATATTGGCAAGTAGTGTGAAAGAACCTCAGCTCCACTTTATCTAATCATTTAGAATTAGAAAAAAATGTTTATTTGCAATAAAATGAAGACTATTAAAAATCACAAAATTATGTAGACAAGTGATCTGAAGAATTTAGTAAAAACAATAGGAGGCTTTGATTTTAGCTTGACACCAGAGCTGATTGTAATGTCCTCATTGAAAACATTTCAGTAATTGGACATGGAAGGGTAGGGTCACCAACTCCTTTAAATAAATAAAATAAAGGACAGTTCTGGCCAAGCTTTGTCTTTACTACTGTCTGTGGAATAATATTGCGAACATTTGACCTTAACCTAATAAAACATTTATACGTTTTTTTTTTTCTAAATATGGTACAGTTCTGTTTTTTAGGGAACCGAAAACCCCAACAGAAAGATTTATGCATCTCACTACAAGTTGGCTGCATGCTCAAGTCACAAGATGGTGCTGTTGTGCAGAACATCCCTGGCATGTACAGTATGTGCAAGGTTTTACTTTGAAATGATACAGTGTATAAGTATACATGTCTCTTTTCAATACTTGGAAGAGAAACATAAACACAGTTAAAGATGATGAAATGCTCTCAATCTGCAGGTTTACTACTGATTCCTAGAATTTCTAAAAGTAGAATGGGAGGCTGATCTTTTAGTTATCAGACTCCTCTCTTGTGGAATCAACAACCAGTCTTAGACCATGAGGCAGACACCCTGTCTACTTTTAAGACAAGGCTTAAAACTTTCCTTTTTGATAAAGCTTATAGTTAGAGTGGCTCAGGTTATCCTGAGATATCTCTATAGTTATGCTGCTATAGGCATAGACTTCTGGAGGACAAAGGGACCCCCATTTCATCATTCTGCTTTAATTAATCTCTATTCTCCCACTCTGCAGAATGTGTTAGTTCAATCTTTAACGTTATTCTCTCTCTGCCTTTTCTCATAGTAGCTTTGCCTCATCTCTTCCTGTTTGGCTATGACATCATCCTGGAGAGAAATATCAGCTGTGCTGCTGCCATCAACACCTGTTTATAGATACTGGAGATCGGCCTGTTTTTCCAGTGTATTCTTGTTTCTCTGTGACTGGCTCGATGTGCTCTCTTCATCCTCTGACATGGGAGTTGGCTCAGAGACGGGGGCCGCCTTTTACAGTTGTTTTTGTATCTCTGCTTCTGTATCGTTGAACCCCAGTCGGCCTCAGCAGATGGCCGCTCACACTGAGCCTGGTTCTGCTGGAGGTTCCTTCCTGTTAAAAGGGATTTTTTTCCTCTCCACTGTCGCTACAAGCATGCTTAGTGTGAGGGATTGCATTAGAGTCAAAGATTCAATGCAATCAACTGGTTTTCCTTAGACAGAAAACTTTAAATCAATTTGACTGGATGATCTGTTGAACTGTAAAGTGCCATGAGATGACGTGTTGTGAATTGGCGCTATAGAAATAAACTGAATTGAATTGAATCAAACCGAATTGATGAATATGAACATCTCTTTACAGGACTAGAATGGTTGCTAGGTGAACACAAAATTAGACTGAACTCAGGTGTAAACCTGTGAATCATACACTGAGAATGTTGCTATGCAGGAAAGAGTCATCAAACAGTTTCACAAGATAGAAAAAGCTTAAACTTTTGCAAAGCAGTCAGAGCCTAATTAGTAGGTGGACAACATGTTGATGGTTTTCTTCAAGGAAAAATAAGGATTTGTATGATATTTAAAGATCCTAAAACAGAAGAGCAATATAATTACATTTTTTATATTGAATTTTTTTATAAATTGTTTTTGTAATTAAACAATTCACATTTATAAGAAAAAAAACTACATTCTCTTATTTCAAGAGCATAATATCAATATTACATTAAGGTTAAAAATATTAATTCCATTGACAGATCATTTTAGTTATTCAAATAGCAGGTACATTTATTTTAAGAAATTTTTATAAATTTATTGATCGTTTTTGAAGTGCTAAAAGGAGACTCAGCAGAATGTTTTGTTTACTCAACTCTCAATTAGCATTTACATTAGCACCTCTTTCCTCCATCAGTTTTCAGATCAAAGGATTCTTTTACTTCTGTAACAGTGCAGCCATGGCATTTACAGCTCTTGTAATTTGCCAGTGCTTGGCTTTTTACTGGTCCTGTAACTCTGCTGCTCTGCTGTCAGGAAAGCTTCAATCTGCATGCACCTTATATGGAATTATCAGGGTGGTGATTATGCAGTTTTATATTTCTTGGGAATGTGCATCAACGGACTGCATCACATTAATGATCATTCACTGAAATTAACATTGGCCCCTGGCAGTGCCGAGTGGGATAGAAAAAGTCTGAACAAACTAGTAAGAAAGGCTGCTTCTGTCCTAAGCTGCACTGTGGACTTGGAGGAAGTGGCTGACCACTGAGCCTTAGAACAGCGAGTCTGCACTGCAGACTCACTGGAAATTGAGGGTGTAATGGCGAACGAAATACTTGACAATTAAATGCAAGTTCTGCTGGTTTACTGCATCTTTATCATTTGAAGTCAAGTTCCTCTTTTAACTGTATTCATTTCCTAAGTAAAAAATTTTTAATTTCATGTCAAACTGCACAGAGCTATAGCCATGCATATAGGGCATCACTGAGTTTCATTAGCAATGACTGCTTTGCCTTTCTGGTAGAGGGAAAAGGACATTCCATTTAGGCCCCCTCTGGCGTGCGAATGTGATGATAGTGAAGCAGTGGTGCATAGGGGCAGTTTGGGCCCAAACCCTCCTGCATGAATGAAGTATACTTGTGATCCAAGAAGCAAATTACCATCCTTTCCAAGTACATGTAGTGCAATTTATATTCAGAATCCACTGGTTCCTTGGTTATACCCGTAAACTAATCACATGAACTACAGACTTCTAAAATCCAATATGCACAAACACAAACGTTTTAGTTCTATATTTATTCCAAACATTAAGGCAACTACAATGAAAAACATGGCATCTCATCAGCATCCAGCCTTCATCTGGCTGTGAGGGGGCAGTGGTTTGTTCAGGTGGATGCCCACAGTCAGCCCAAACTCCTGGCTGGAATGCTTCTCATGGACATCAGGCTTCAACTGGAAAGCCTTCTCATCAAAGCAGTCCAAGGGAATGAAGGACAGAGGCTTTTCCTCCAGAAGTCCTTGCAGTCGTGTGCGCCAGCTATCCAGCATGCTCTTGCGATCTTCAGCTGCAGCAGAAGAAGGAGCCCAGAAGATCTGAGGGGCCAGAACCTGGAAGCCACAGTAGTGCAGGATGCCGTTCTGCAGAGGAATGAAGTTGATTTAACATTTCTACTAGATGTAGGTTTATTGCAGCAAAACACTACTGTACATTACCTGCAGTGGCCACAGTGTAACATTCATGTCTCCATTAATACCAGTTGGGCTGAACATGGATTCTAGAGATCCAGTGGTGAAGGACAGCATGGCTTTCTTGTCCTAAAAGCAGGAACAGGTTAAACAAGATCATAGATGCCACCAATGACTTCCTTATTAAAGTCTCACCTTGAAGATTCCCTGGCTGTAGCGCTTCTCTTTAGAGAAGGCAAAGCCATTGGTGAGAACACGGTCAATCCAGCCTTTCAGGATGGCAGGAACACTGAACCAGTACATGGGGAACTGAAGGAAAGAATACAGTTAATACAACATGGAGCATTTATCACCATATTACAGATATCCAGCAGTACCTGAAAAATGATGAGGTCTGCCTCAGTGAGCTTAGTTTGCTCCTTTGTGATGTCATCTGACAGTTTCCCCTGCTCCCATGCAAGTTTAGACTCTTCCAGATAACAGAAGTTCTCAGCATTCTTCACATCCCCTGTGGAAGAGGTTGTCAGACATCATGGTAGCAAATACTTAACATATTTAATCATCCCAGATTGTTTTATACCCTTGATGTCTTCAGCTGTAGCAGTGGCTTTAAAACTCATGGCATACAGGTCAGAGACTTCCACTGTGCAGCCCTGAGCAGTCAGGACCTCTACAGCAGCATTTTTAGCTGCAGCATTGAATGATCCAGAGCTCTGGTGAGCAAACACGATCAGCACTTTCTTTCCTACCAAGAAATGGAGGACTAGATTTAGCCATTTTTAGATCAGAAATAATAACCAAAACATATGAATTGATCCCGTTAAAGATTAAAAGTTGAATTTTCATCAGCATCATGAATATTTGAAGGAACAAAGACCAAACTAGATTACCCATCTCAGACTCTATATCATAGGCAGTATGATCAACTTTGAAACAGCTGGTTCCAGCTATGGTCACTCTGCGGCTTCTTCTTCTGCCTTATGATAATCTGCAGCTGAACTCCACCTGCTGCTTTAATGTACCTCAAGTGTTTGGCTTCAAGTTGACTCAGGTGTTGTCAATCAGCATTGATAAGATTCTCAGCTGTTAGTCTGATTCTTTTCTACATTGGTGGATCACAAACAATTTACAGGTTCACACCACCCCCGTAATGTAGTATGAGTGTCTAACGTCCACCCACTGAATTCTGCTTTTTGATATTATGTAGATTAAGTTTATGAAAAATGTTTTTTGCTTCTTAAATAGATGTACTTCTGGTTTCATTCAGTTCCAAAGATTCACTCTAGTCCCATCCTGTCTCTCTTGATGCTTCCGATCTTCCTTTTTCAGTGATATAAGCGACAAAGTTAAGCAATATTTATTCCACTACTTCTTTTTCTTCTAGTCCCTCAACTTCATCAGTGTTTCCCTATAAATTATATGCTCCTGTCATTAAAATGGGTAATGATCTGCCCTCAGATTAATTATTGCTTATTGTCTTTTTTTTTTCTTACTATGCAATTCATTGTAAATACAAAAACATGTATTTGCTGTCTTATATTAAT